CCTGACCCAACCTTGGCTGTTGTAGCTCCTTGGAGAGTGAACCAGTGGGTGGAAGATCTTCCTCTCTTTCAAATATATATATTTTATGTTTTAAAAACTGAAAAATCATAATTGTCTTTCTATGCTTTTGATTTTTCAAATTGTTTCCATAAACAAAGTATTTTACTCAGAAAGAATATTAGACAGGTTACGTTTCTTTTTTTATTTTCTATTTTGCTTGAAAGTCAAATTACGGAGAGAAGGGGGGAGAGACACAGAAAGAGATCTTCCACCTACTGTTTCACTCTCTAAAGTGCTGCAACAGCTAGAGCTGAGCCAGTCCAAAGCTGGGAGCCAGGAGCCTTGTCCAGGTCTCCCTTACAGGTGCATTGGAATGGGGGCCCTAGGCCTTGGGCCAGCCTCTACTATTTCCCTTGCCATTAGCACGGAACTAGATGGGAAGTGGAACAACCCGGACATAAACTGGTACCCGTTTCAGATGTCAGCATCACAAGCAGTTGATTAGCTTGTCTTGCAGGCTCCAGGTTGTATTTCCACAAATAAAAAAATTTTAGTGCCACATAAAGTTTAGTGCCATATTTACCAAATTCTGTTTATATTTAAATATCCAGGAGGTCACATCTGCAGGTAGTTCCTTAAGTGTTTTGTGTGCTGGTAAATAAAAATTACAAAAGGCCATTGTTTTAGACTAAGTTCCTGCTCTGGACTCCTCCAAACTAGGCTAAAAGTCAAAATGGAGTCACTCACGTTTGAATTCCAACTCATTAACTGAAACTGAACTGTTTATCTGACCTTCAGAGAAACAGGAATAGAGAGATAACAGCCTCATTTCCCAAGCCAGACCAGTTTCAGTCAGCCCAATAATACAGTTCCCTTGGCTTTAATTCTCACCAAAAAAAAAAAAAAAGAAGAGGAAGAAAAGAAAGACACTTGAGGCAACCCGATGTTGACCAGTCATTTTTCTATTGTTCTTTCTCCCAGTTATACCTTAAAAGGGAAGTAACTTCCAAGTGACCAATCCACCTACATTCTTTTGTTTCTCTTCATGCCCTTCTATGTATAAAATCAGCCACCTCTGCTTACACTTCAATCTATTTTTTGGAGAGTCCTATTGGCTCGGTTTTAGAATCTACAAAAAAGTCAATTAAAATGGTTAGATCAAATTGTTGTGACTTTGTACTATGTTAGATCTAAGAGGTCTTCTCAGGCCTGCCCACAATTGAGAATGCTACAATGTTAAACTCCAGGCTGGCAGCACTACTCTTCTTCCCAAATCAAAACCTGATGTGGGGCCCGGCGCGGTGGCGCAGTGGATAAGGTCCTCGCCTTGCACGCCCGGGGATCCCATATGGGGGCCAGTTCTATCCCGGCAACCCTGCTTCCCTTCCAGCTCCCTGCCTGTGGCCCGGGAAAGCAGTCGAGGACGGCCCAAAGCTTTGGGACCCTGTACCCTCATGGGAGACCCGGAAGAGGCTCCTGCATCGGCCACTGCGCTCACTTGGGGAGTGAATCATCGGACGGAAGATCTTCCTCTCTGTTTCTCCTCTCTGTATATCTGCCTTTCCAATAAAAAAAATAATAAAAATAAATATTAAAAAAAAAAACCTGATGTGGCCAATAGGGTCTGTGGAGTCTCTTACCTCCTCTGTTACACAGAAAGGGTCTCCCACAAGATTGATCTTGTGAGTTCATTGTGTCACCTTCCTCAAAGATTTAGATGCTGAACTCCCAGAACCTCAGAATGTAACCCTGTTTGGAAATAGGCTCTTTGCAGAGGTAATAAAAGTTACAATGAGATCATTAGGGTGAGACAAGGATAAATTTGGACACAGAGGCATTTCCAGTGGGAAGGCGATGAGTAGGTACAGGGAGAAGATGGCCATCTCTGGGTAAGGAGGGAGGCCTGGAACAGCCCTTACCCTCACAGCCCTCACAAGCAGCCAGTTCTATGTGCCGGGCCCTGTACTTGCTAGCACATACAAGACTATGGTTTGAGAACACCTCAGACAAAGTTTCTTTGGAGATCTCCCCAATCAAAATGCTGGACTCAGAATCCTAACCAAGAAAAGAGAGAAGACAGAACAGGTCAACCAACCAACTTGGCTATATGTTGGCAGCAAAATACGGGGCAAAGAGAGACTCTATGATGGACTATGTCAATCAGTGGATTCTTCAGCGACCTCATAGTGCTTGGAATGGCAAGATTGGCAGCGATTCGTAACTGTTGAAATATCAAAACCACTTGAGCAAGAACCTCAGAGCATACCCTACATCCGGGGACCTGGGGAGGGTGGGAAATTGGGTGGGCGTTCTCCCTTAATACCCCCCTTTAAACATGAAGGAAACAATATGGAAAAAATAATAGTCTTACCCACTAAAAAAAAAAAAGAAGAAGCAAGTCCTAGTGGGACTCTAATGGCATGCCTTGTGCCAGATCTGTGAGATGATACATCACTGTTATTCAGTAATCTAGTCTGTGCCATTTTGTCACATCAATTCCAGCTAACTCAGACCAAGGTTGTAGGAAATAGGTTTATTATCTTCCTGGTAGCCCTAACTTCACTGTTCTAAATCTAGAAAGTATAAAAACAGCAAATTATTTTTCACCTAAAAACTATCAGTATATTCAACTATTTTTGAGAAAAACACAAGTAGTGGAAAAGGCATATTTTAGTTTAGTAATCTAAGTAGATGATTACAAATTGGTATTTCTAGGCATGAAGTTTGATGTTGGCAGCTGTTTCAAACTGTATCCTTTAATTTCCTTGTCCCAGCCAAATCCCTATCAAGCCATGTAGAGAGAGGACCAATTACTTTCCTCCCCAGCCCTCAGTTATCTGTGGAAAGAAAAGCAATAAAATATTAGTTACGTAATTTTTAGATAGCAATCCTCTTAAAAATATTTATATTGCTTTTATTTGAAAGGCTGAGTTACACAGAGAGCAGGAGAGGCAAAGAGAGAGAAAGATTTTCTGCTTCACTACTTAAATGGTCATAGCTAAGCCAATCTAAAGCCAGAAGTCAAGCGTTTTCTCTGGGTTTCCCACTTGGGTACAGGGATTCCAAGCACTTGGGCTGTGTTTTACTGCTTTCCTAGGCTATTAACAGTGAGCTGGATAGGAAGTAGAGCAGCTGGAACATGAACTTGTGTCCATGTGGGCTGCTAGCACCACAGATGTAGGTTTAGCCTATTACACCACAAGGTGGGCCCCCTGGAATAGCAGTCCTTTCCAGATCACTTTCCAAGGGAGAAGAGAATTATTTGAGAATTACTGGTAATAATTCCTACCTTTTGACCAGGCCCAAATGGCAAACAAACACATGAAAAAATGCTCCAGCTCCCTGGCAATAAGGGAAATCCAAATTAAGACATCGATGAGGTACCACCTAACACCAGTAAGACTGGCCCACATAAACAAGAACACCAACGACGCTTGCTGGCGAGGATGCGGGGAAAAGGGAACCCTACTCCACTGCTGGTGGGGCTGCAGGTTGGTACAGCCTTTGTGGAAATCAGTATGGAGAACATTTAAACAACTCAAAATCTGCATACCATGTGATCCAGCAATAGCACTCCTAGGAATATTTCCAAAGCACCTGTTTTACGACAAACCAACATGCACCCCTATGTTCAAGCAGCACAACTAGTAATTGCCAGAACATGGAAGCAACCGAAATGCCCATCAGCAGAAGATTGGATAAGAAAGCTTTGGTTCATCTACTCCATAGAATACTACTCAGCTATTAAAAAAAACAAAATGCAGTTCTTTGTGGCTAAATGGGCCCAACTGGAAACTATAATGCTAAGGGAAATGAGCGAATCCCAAAAGGTTAGATACCACATGTTTGCCTTAATTTAACCAGTGATTTTATTTGTTTGTTGGCTTATTTGTTTTTGAACCAGTCATTGATACTGTCTCAATCCATGTGTTGTGAGAAATTGAACTTGCATTACTTTTAACATATTGTTTACTCAATACTATGTCAATCAATTTCATAACATTGCAAATTGTTGCTGATGTTATGTGGGGGCTTTTAACCGACAGGGACTTTACTCTGTTAGCTCTACCTTCAGACCAGAGAAGGTCTCCCCTAGAGACCACTGAACTTATCTGGACAACAAGATGCTGAACTCTATGCTGGGTATATGCATGCAATGAATGAATCCCAATTGAACCTCAACTGTGAATATGCAACTAGGTGGAGGAATCCACCATGGGGGTAGGGTTGTAGGAGGGGTAGGAGGAATTCCAGTGCCTACAAAACTGTATCACATAACACAATGTGATTAACGATGAAAAAAAAAATTCCTACCTTTTGACCACCCTGAATGTGAACACTTTGTACTCGTGTGATCTCCCCATGTTAGAAGACAGAGCCTTTCCCTATCTACACATGCTGGAAGCACCTGATGCTAAGGTCCAAGAACACCATTGGTTGACACTGAACACACCATATGTTGTGACTCCAAAGCAGCAGGGACAGCTTCATATCCTCAAGTAACTAACTTGTTTGGAATTGGAGTAATTCATACAGACAATCATAACCTTTTTTCTTTAAAGATTTATTTTGTTTATTTGAAAGGCAGAATTGAGAGGAAGATACACACACACACACACACACACACACACACACACACACAGATGTTCTCTTTGGTGGTTCATTCTCCACATGGCCACAATGACCAGGGCTGGGTCAGACTAAAACCAGGAGCCAGGAGCATCCCTTTGGGTCTCCCACATGGATGCAGGGGCCCAAACACTTAAGCAGTTTTCTGCCGTTTTCCAAGGCCATTAGCAGGGAGCTGGTTTGAAAGTGGAGCAGTTTAGACTTGAATAGTGCTTGTATGGGACACAAGAGTCATGGGCAGTGGCTTTACTCACTATACCACCGTGTGAGCCCCTCATACGCTTTTTTTCTAGTTAAATAACCCAAGTCTGTTATTTGTTGTTCATACAATATAGTAGATAAAATTTCATTCTTGTGCCTTTCCCTCTTACATTGGATTTCACCTTAGGCCTGAGACAGTGTGACAAAGCAGGATGGGAATTGTCCAAAGTCATGGCAAGGAGGAAGAAGAGCCATGTGTATTTCTGAAAGAAAAAGAGATGGTTATAGGTTAGAGAAGGAGTAATTTTAAATCTGCAAACCATTATTTCACAATGTTGCATGTCCTGGCTGTCTCAGTAAGAAATGCCCTTCAGATAGCAAAGCAAGGATACAACAGTCTACCATGGCAGATGGCCAGGTGGAGCCTGTGTGCACCCCCAGAGGTGCACTTAACCCTGACATTTAAGCCAAAAGGAAGATTAGCTATCATCTACAATCTTCCTTTCTCACCTACTGAGTGAAGACTAGAGGGATAGTAGCTTATCCAAAACCTCATTGTCTGTATGCAGCTTCTAGAATCACACTAAATGATCCCCAACTGCAAGCCACTGTTTATTTTTCCCAGTGTATAAATTGATTGCCTTCATCCATTAAATGATCCTTTCACGTATGGGTGAAGTTGCTTCTTCCATATTCAGTGCAAGAGAGATGAAATGTGGTGACAAGGAAGTATTCTCCCCATCCCTGCTCTGGTAGTCATCCAGCCAAGGTTGTCTAGCGTCTTGATCTTTCCACCTGGCACAACCCTGCAGTCTGGCTAGAAGTCCTATGGGCTAAGGATGTGTGGAGCAAGGCCAATAGGGTTAGTGCTGTGTTTTAGCCAAGTCAGTCTTGAATACAAAGATCATTAGCTAACTCAAGAAAGTATCAGTAAGAGGGGACCAAATAATACAGATTCAGGAGCACTGTTGTTGAGTTTCATGTAATCCAAGGAGAGACAAAAGTAAAGACAGGTTGCATAAAACAGAAAATTGGAAATCAAAGTGTTTTCTACACTTTTTCACCTTTTTATCTGACAGATAAGAATCCACAAGGATATTTTAGTTGTTAAATCTTGGAAAAGACTATTACAGGAAAATGAAATGAGTATAACATGGCGAGAATCATCAATTCTTGTAAAAAATAATCAAAATTTCAACTAAAAAAATTTTTAAAGGTCAACTTTTAGTGTAATTTACAGAACAGTGACAGACGCATATATTTTCAGTGAAAACCAAGAAGATATTTACACCATTTTTAGAAACATCAATTTAGAGATTCTAAGTCAAGCAAGCATGCAACATTCAGAACATTAAAAAAAAAAACCGGAAAGAAAGAAAAAAGTGCCAGGCAAGATTGCCCAAATAAAGTTCTCAGTAAAGGTGACCTGAAAATGTCCACCAGAAAATCAAGTGAATTGGAGTGGACAGGGACACTTCAGAGACCAGGAGGCTCATCTCCTCAGTCCACAAATGAACACAGTGAAAACACGGGAACTGGCGCAAATCACACAGCTGGACTAGTGGCGTACGCCGATCTAATTCCTAGTGCTTCTTGCAACTCCACATATCCAAAACACGTGGAGGTAAATATCCAGAACACAGAAACACAGTCCACGGAGGTAAGCACAACGTGTCAGGACTCACGCCGCAGGACAGGCTGCGGTTGTCAGCACAGCAGCACACCGTACAGTGAGATTAGACTGAACCAGCTCGTGAAGAACTTCGATGCTCAGTTTTCACAACACAGTCAACTAAAATTTTTAATGTGACCTCAATTCGTATTCATAGAAGTAGAGAGTCCCCAGAGTAAGGAGAGTGACTTCCTTCTTGGATTATTCCTTCCATGTCTGCAATATTATGATCCCTTCCAGATACCATGATGAAAAGATAGAAACTAACACATATAAATGGCAGTTGTCTGAAAGGCAAACATTTTGAAAATCTGGTTAGCCCTCAGGAAAGACAATAGCAGAAGGACTTGGTTATTCTCTTCAAGTGTTTGGAGGGCGTATAGTTAGGAATGTTTTATGTGGCTTTGGAGAAAGAACAGAAATAGATTAATGAAAGTTGTAGAAGTGGAACCATGAGTGGCAATGCATGTCATGAGGAATTGTGTGCAGGCTTTGAAATCGATCCAAGGGGCTAGCATTTTGGTGCAGTGTACAAATTCATCTCCTACAATGCCGGCAGTTCATGCCCCAGATGCTCAAGTTCATAACCGCCTTCCTGCTCATAGCGTAAGAAAAGCAACAGAAGATGGCCCAGTGCTTGAGCCTCCGTTACCCACGTAGGCAGAGCGGAGGAGGTTTCTGGCCCTAGCCATTGCAGCTGTACAGGAAGTGAGTCAACTGATGGAAGATCTATCTTTCCCCTTCTCTCTGTGACTGACTTTCCGATTAAATAAATAAATTTTTAAAAATAAAAAAGGATAAAGATATCTTTGTGCTTCATTACATAATAGAGAAGAAACTGTTCAGTGCATGCTTCATTTTTCTTTTAATTTTTTTAAAGACTTACTTATTTTTATCGCAAAGTCAGATATACAGATTGGAAGGGAGACAGAGAGGAAAATCTTCCATCCAATGATTCACTCCCCAAGCAGCCACAACAGCCAGAGCTGTACTGACCTGAAGCCAGGAGCCTCCCACGCGGGTGCAGGGTCCCAAAGCTTTGGGCCATCCTCGACTGCTTTCCCAGGCCACAAGCAGGGAGCTAGATGGGAAGCAGGGCCTCTGGGATTAGAACCAGCACCTATATGGGATCCTGGTGCATGCAAGGCAAGGACTTTAGCAGCTGAGCTACTGCGCTGGGCCCTCAGTGCATCTTTCAGTTCAGAGGAAACTTAATTGCTGGACACTGCTCTGGTTCAGTTGTTGAATGTCCCCAAAGGCCCTTGTGTTGAAGGCTTGGCCCCAGAGTGCTACTCCAGGAAGGTGGTAGAATCTCAAGCAGACATAGTCCAGAGGGAGGTGCTTACGTCACTAGGGGTGTGTCCTCAAAAGGCAGGTCTCATGTGAATTCTTGAGTTCTCATAATGGGTTGTTATAAAACCTTGAATTTAGGCCCCTGCTCTCCCTTGTGTCCTGGCTTGCTTTGTGTCCCTCCATTCATATGTGCTCTGTCTTCCACCATGAGGGTTTGGCTGGGCCTGTATCTTGCTGTCTGAAATTTCTGTCTTCAAAACTACAAATCAAATCAAACTTCCACGGCAACCGCAACAACCTAAGTAATCGAGACACATTTCTCCTTAACTCAGTAGCTTTTTTAAACTAAAAAGCTGTCTTGGATTCTATTATGGAAAACTTTTTCCAATTTCAATTACATTCTTTAGCAAGCAGCAGGGTTTTGATACGTTCTGGCACTGCTCTGAAGTTATTAGAATTTAATTATCTGAACATGTTTGTGAAATAGCAACTTTTTAACCCCTTACGTTGACACAATCCTTGAGTTCACAACCTGCCAAGTGAGGTGAGTTAATCTTGTTTCATCCCTGAAACACTGCTACCAAATAGACATTATTATCCTAGGAAATAGCTGTACAGAGGTGAAATGATTTTCAAGATATCCTAGCAAGTGACAATGGTGTTCAAGCAAGATTTAGTTCTTTCTTTGCATGCAAAGTTGCATGATTAAGGCCTATGTCCTGCACAGTTTTTGTTCTTTTTTTTTTTATTGTTCTGATTTTAGAAACCTGAGAAGCAACCAGCATTGCACTACAAGGGATTAAAAAGTTGCTATTTCACAAACATGTTCAGATAATTCTCCCTTTCCCAGGAGAATTTTTAGACAGGAGTGTATTTGTTGAAACAAACAAAATATACTTTGATCAACCTAAAAAAGGTGCTACTTTTATAAAGTATATGATCAAAAGTGGGTGCTTAATCTAGTGTTTAAGGAATTCATGTCCCTCATGAGAAGGTTGATTTCACTTCCCAGCTGTGGCTCCTGACTCCAGCTTTTCCAGAGTGCACACGCGGGAGGCAGCAGATGATGGCTCAAGTAACTACATTTCTGCCACCACTAAAAAACCTGGATTGTTTTCCTAGCTTTTGGCTCAGGCCCCAGCCCATCCCTGGGTGTTGCAAGCATTTGAGAAGAAAACAAGCTGATAGAAGTTGGTTAAAATCTCTACAATATTATGATTGATTTTTGAGTGTATTTCCTACATATATCCTTCCATTCCCTGAATGGCATCATACGTTGGACTGCAGAATAACTATGTCATAGTTAATAGCTTATTATCCCAGTGATGTGGACCTATAGATGCAAGAAATGAAAAGGCATTTGGATGAGCTCTCAGCTCCCCAGGAAGTACACAGCATCTAGCAGAGTGTCTAGCAGGTGTCATGTCCTTTATAAACATGCAGGTACTTCAAAAAGTTATGTAAAATGGAATTAAAAGAAAATGTACATTTTCCACAAACTTTCTAATGACCTTTTATGTTGTTAAATAAGAAAGCTGCTTCAGTTAAAACAGACCATTAAAACCCAACAGACTTATATGAACAGCAATACACCATTGTCCATAGCAGCACTACTTACAATAAGGAAAAGATGAAGAATGCATAAAACAATGGTATGTACACATAATGGAACACAACTTAGCCTTAAAAAGGAATGAAATTGGTGCCTGTACTGCAATGTTATGAATGAAGGCAATGGTTGTGACACTGTTACGAGCCCCAGTTGGAGTCCTCGCTGCTCCATTTCAGATACTGCTCCTTGCTAGTGTTGGAAAACAGCAGAAGATAATCCCCGTACTACTATCATGTCTCATAATATTTGTGTAATATTTTCTGGTTTTGTTACTGTATTTGCCAAAACATTAAGATATATCTTATCATTTTCATGTTACTAAAATTTCTAAATTGCATTTAAAGGTGGAATAAAAAAATAATCTTCACTCCACATGCTGCTGTAATTCCAAACTCCTTGAAACTTTTTTTAAATACTAATTTCAGGGGGAAAAAGTGTTGTTTCCATCATACTGGATTCTAGTTTTTCAGTGGGTAAGAAGTGAGATTTGTTATGGAGCAGAAATTGGTAGCCACTTTATATAAGGGGTTAAAGAGTAAATATTTGAGGCTCAATATGCCTTATGGCTTCTGCTGTCACTAACCAAGTCTGCATTTTTATAATAAAGACAACCATTGACTCAGTTCCAACCAAACTTTATTTGTACAAATAAGCTTCAAGGCATTGTTTGTGACTCCCTGCTACTG